ATATTCACTACTACCATTTCAAGTTCTGCTTTCACATAGATGAAGTTATTTCATTGTCAGGAAGGGATGCTTATTGATGTTTAATTTTGCTACTGGCCATAGGATTCTGTAGACAACATACAGACTGAGCTGAGCAGTAAATAATGTGTCATTAGAGGTTTAGTGAGAGCCGGTGTTTGAAAGCTGAACTCAGACAAGACCTAAAAAAAGAATTTAAAAAACAAACAAACAAACCACTTTATTTGTGAAGTGCCTTAATATTAATCTTTGTATACACAGGGCTCCAGGATGGAATATGTGAAATATCCAGGACTGTGGCTTTATCCAAGCAGGTAGATGTGATGACATCCTCTTTCCAGATGGTTATCCATCCAGACCCAGATATGCTGCCAGATGTCAAACTTCGGTATGTCTGAGCACTCCATGTCATTTACTGAAGTCATTACTGTAGTGATGTATTTCCTAAAAGTACTTTTACATCCAAAATATCAGGAAGACTGTTAGGCTTTCTCTGTGACTGTCTCAAAAACCTGACTGAGGAATCACTTGGTAAGGAAGGAACTATTAAATACTTATCAAGATTTTGCTTTAATTAGTCAATCACTCTTGCATTTTTACATCTCAGGATACTCCCCATCCCCTCCTCCTCGTGTAGACATGGGATCCACAGATCTGCTCTCCATGTCCTTTGACTTTCCTGTGTCAAAGCTTCTTAGATTTGATAGGTGGATCTTGGATTCCTGCCAAATTTGTTTTTCACAGAGCAAGCTTTACACAACTCCTTGAATCTAAGTTTTCTAACATGCCTCTACTGGTGAAATATTGGTCTGACATCAGAGCAGAAGAGTAGGGGAACCAGAGGCCTCAGTCTTCCTATAAAAAATTTCTCTGCAGTGTATTTGAAATCCAGAAAGAATCTATCAGTCTTGGAGGATGAAAGACTGGAAATGAAATCCTTTCCACTCTTTTGTGCTACCTAATGTCACTCACTAAGGCTCCTTGCCTTTCTTAACATATTCTCCAGTCTTTCTGTAAGGAATAAGGCACTTCTGGAGTGTGGTGAGTGGATTCAGGAGCTTATAGAAAACAAACCCCCAAACTGGAGAGGTGCTGCCCTCTACAATTATTTCTAAATCTGCAGCCAAATGAACTCAGCTTGCTTTGATTCCCCTTTCTGATACAGACCTGGAAATCTATTTGGCTGGAGAAGGCAGCTTTAAATGTAGTGCAGTTGCTTGGAGAATGAGGGGCACAGCTTTGTGCCTAACAGTCTTTCTGTTCTATCCCTTAGGATGGACCCCAAATTGACCTTGGCTCACCTGGATGTCTCCCATGCCGGCCTGCTCTGCAAAACCTGGTCACGGGGAGGCAACCCAAGGTGCCAGAAGTATCTTGCTGGTCTCATTTGCTGCTTCCCCAGTGCCTGTGTCTTGGATGAACAAGGGAATCCCCTCTCCTGGAGCCTGACAGACCAGTTTGCCACCATGATTCATAATTACACCCTACCAGAGCATCGAAGGAAGGGTTACAGCAGGCTTGTGGCTACCACTCTAGCTAAGACATTGCACAGGTGTGGCTTTCCAGCTCAGGGTAATGTCCTGGAGACAAATATCCCATCAATAACACTACTGAAAAGCATGAATGCCCAGTTCCTTCCCTGCTCATTCTTCCGAGTGATTCATACACCTTTTCATTTTTTAGCCAAATCTCACTTGTAGGCAAACCTCACAAACCTACATTCAGATCAGCTTTTTTTGCACTGCAGGAGAACTTTTGTGGAATTTAATAACTTGGGTGAGATCAGAAATCATAGGAGAGTTTCTCGTGTAATCCTAGAATCAAAGGTAGTAACTGCTCATGACTTCTGTGCTCGAGGAAATCTGTGCTCATGGCAGTTCCAAATGACTGGGTGATGGTTCTAATGTAATAGTTTTGTTGTAATTCAGTTGAAATTGTGCTGCTTCTGATGGAAGAATTATTTCTTCTGTATAACCATTTTCTAGAATATCTACAGCAGGATCCTTGGACATCTCTAACCCCATTTGTCTGTTTTGGAATAAGTCCTCAAGCCTCTCCTTTCCCTGATGTGGCCTAAAAGAGATTAGTCTGTGAAATTAAGCAGAGAAATCTGCAAGGAGCTGTCTGAACTGAAAAAAAAAGCTTTATAAAGAAATCTTTTAATGTCTAATACAGCAACAAGTCTGTTTATGCTTATTTAACAAGTCTCCTTTATGCTCAAGACAAATCTATCTGTCCATCTGCTACTTGTGGTAGAGCTAAACATGCCAACACTGGATGAAATCTTGCAGCACTGCTGGTAAGGTTCCTCACAGTCCTCAGTTAAATACTTAATGGGAGCTATTAAGATTTGGCCTAAAGCTTGTGTTTATATTCTGAACTGAAAGGGCACCTCACAGAAATTCTATTCAGAATAAAAGGAATCTCTTTTTGAAAAGGAGATTATCTAAAGCCTAAGTGGGAACCAGTTTTGCCAGTCCTGCCTGGCAAAGGAAGGAGAGCAGAGGGTGGAGGATGGACAAAGAACAAAGAGTCCAGGTGGTGGAAAGGGACCCTATGAAGCTCTGCAGGTATATTCCTGAATTTGTCTGTGAAACAAAGATGGAAACAGGGAGACAAGCCATGGGGGGGAAAGGGAAAGAAGATTTGCAGCGTTAGTCTGTTGGAGAAACAAGGTGAGCCTTGTTTCTCTACCTGAGACAACAAATCATGAAATTCAGGGAAGGGACTTCTGAGAACAAAGCCTACAGAAAGGCTCTGAAGGAGGGCAGAAAGATGGATTGAGACACTTAATTTTCCTAATAGTCAAATATTCCATTAATATTTTAGCTTTCTAAGGTTTATAGTACTTTAAATATAAAATGGCATTTGTATGTGCAGTGCCATCTGAAAGACAGTGTGTGCACCTGAGTCACCCATACAGGACGGGAAGATTCGTTTTTGGAAAACCAAGCCATGATTCTACTTTATAAATTTTTAAAAACTGTTTTTTGGGGTTTTTTTGGTTTTTTTTAAGTAAAGTAGGCAATCCCCTCAGGAGAGAGCTACTGGCACACAACAGAGATTTTTTGCAAGCCCATAGAAAAGTGAGAATTTTGGGAAATGGATCAAAGGCCAGTTTGGATTTAAGGCAGCCTAGTATTTTAGGAAAACTGAATTTATCAACATCACTGGTTTTTTTTCAAATCCAGGTAATTGGATTTGGTAATTCTACTATTGCCTTCAATAGGGCCAGATGTCTACCTCTAGATTCTTATTCAGCCTAATTAGACCATTTTTACAGAAGCTGTGGAGATCCTACATTTAATGAGAAGGAGAATAATTTCCAGGTAACTAAATCCAGTGGCTTTTGGTTTGGAGACAGAAATTAACCACCTGATAAACAGAGACACCTCAGCGAAGGGCCTGAGGTGATCATGCACCACAGGGCCCTGCCATGTGAAAGGCAGAATTTCAGACTGCCTCAGCAAATAGAGGTTCTGGAGGAAAGAGCAGGGTCAGTTCAGACAAGGCTGTGTCAACTTTTTGATTTTTGGAATCTGCAGACTCAGTACTGGAGCAGGCTGTGGCCCCAGCAGAGACATTTTGATGTCCTTGCAATGAAGCCTTACAGAGTCATCCATGATCTTGTGCCTCTCCATAACTGCTTATTTTCATACTCCCAAACAATAAGGATTATTCATAACTGAGATGATCTCTTTTAATTGTCAAAAGTATTTTTGAGATAAATCAGAAATTCTGTGGTGATGTGATAAAAGGGCATCTACAGTAAAGAGAACGAGTTATGTAATACTTGAAGTTTTCCTCCTTTTAGGTGGAGTTTTGTTTAATACTTGTCATTCTACACCTGGGTTGAGGTTTAGGCAGAGCACCACCAGAAATACTTGACTGTATGGTGGGACAGGAGGAAGGAAAATAAGGTTTACACTGTAATGTCTGGGAGGGTCATGTCTGATCTGTGATGGGCGTGTTTCCACTGATGTGTAAAGGCTTTGAACTATTCCAGAAACTCTCCATTTTTCTCAGTCAATAGAAGAATGAGGAGAGAGGTGACCTTGTCGTGGTTGGCGAGGGAAGGGTCCCCTATGCACCCCATAGTGATCACTCAGTAAACAATGCTGTTCATGTCCCCAGCACCTGGGCCATGAGCCCTGATGTGTCTGGGTGGCACCTGAGGATGCTGGACCTGAACCAAGAGCACCACCCAACTCCCACGCTGCCCTCAGGGGCAGAGCAGTTGCACAGGCTTGAGGAAGAATCAGCCCAAGGCTACTTTGGCTCTCAGTCAATTTTAACTTCCTTTCACAGTTGCCAGGAGGTGGGAGCCCTCTGTCAGCTGGAATTTGCACACAATGTTTATGCAATGTTTAACAGCCCCTTAGAGGGTTCATTACAAAAGCACCAGCCATTTTATGCAGGTGTACACTTTATTTTTCTGAGCTTATCCATTTACAGGAGATTCAGGAAAAACCTTGACCCTCTGGACTCAAGTCAACTTGGCTTAAGGTTTTTCCTGAGAAGTGATTTGCTATAACAGGTAAAGAACTCTGATTTCTTTGCACATGGCAGTGGAAGGAGTAGGGAGAAGAGCCAAAGGAAGAAACTGCAATGAGGCATTGGGGAACAGGATACCCAACCCAGCTTCAAAAACAATCTGACTGAACAAGCCCTTCTGTTCTAAAGACCTGAAGCTCTGAACATCCCCCATTCACCACAGAGGTTCTGCAGTGCTTGTCTTTAAGTGCAATAGTACAAGCCAGGTACAGCTTCATGGTCCATATGTCTCTTTGGAGAAACCTGCACTTGGGAGTGTTTTTTGGGATATACTTTCAACAAACAGTGAAAACTGAAATAAGAATAAGAAAGCTGAGGGTCTCTATTATTTAGCCCAGATTAGGTGATCTAACATGAGCCATACATTAGTTCATATTTCTCCTTCATTTCTGCCCTTCCCCAAAAAATAAAAAATAAAAGAACACCACTTTGGTTTAGAAGTACTGAAAACCTTCATTAAGTTGTGAATTATTTTGGTCAAAGGATTAGGAAGGCAAATGTCATGTAAAAGTAATTTGAACATTTTTGAAACAAATAAATGCTACTTAGAGCTCTAGGAACGTGTCACAGCACACATTTTATAGGGTTTGGGGATGATATTAAATGAAATAGCAGGGCTGAGGTCCAGGTCTGAGGTGGAAACTCCAGGTGGAGGCAGGAAGTTGAACCTCTGCAGGAGGCTGGTGAAGAAGAGGAAGAGCTCCGTTTTGGCCAAAGTCTCCCCAGCACAGATCCTCCTCCCTGGAATAAAATAAGAGTCAGTGGGAGCTACTTCTTCAATAGTTGGAAGAAAATAAAAACCTTAAGCATCTCTTATTTGGAGAAAGGTCATTGGGAGCCCAGAACACCTGAAATATCCTATCCCAGCTATGAATGAAGAACTTAGCAGCTTTTAAAAGTCTGTTGAGTAAAGAAGTGACCTTCAGAGGTATGATAACAAAGCCAACTGGTGGTGGTTTTTTTAGCTTTCCTTTGTCTAAATGCTTGCATTTTGAGGAGAAATGTATGGAAATGCAATCTGAATTCCTTAATTCTAGTTTTCAGTAAAATCTGATCTTTTTTCTTCATTTTCAGATTTTTTTGTCTACTTGGCCCAATTTTTGAATCCCGGACCAACTGGTTGAGTCTGGGCTTTGGCTCTATTAGTCTATATATAGGCAATTTTTTATATTAAAATTTGTCAGAAAATTCCTTGGAAACTCACAAATGCTGGCCAGAGTGGGACTGAGAGGGAAGGTGGGGGGCATATTCTATGGATATTCAAAAGTGCTGTAAATATAATTTTTTCTCAGTCCTCCTGTTAAACTGCAGCAGCTTTTAAACTGCCTTTTAAACTCAGGTGTATGTCACACTCTGGGAAAGCCTCAAAAAACCTCAAAATGCAACCCCTTTCTGTTCTTTGATTTTACACAGAATTTAGGTTTTTACATGACAGCTCCTCCCTGTTGTCACAGTATATGAAATCTTGACCCAGCTGACGTTATTCATGACCTTTTTAAAGGGGACATGGAAAAATGAAACAGGAAAGACATAGAAGCCACCTTTGCTGTGTGCTTTTTGTGGTCATAGACAGTGCAACTGGCTGTGGTAAGACTCAAACCCCAAGACATTGAGAAGTTGTGGGCTACAGATTATAATGCGGATATATGTTACCTAAACCATCATGGAATTTGCTGAAAACTTTCCTCATATTTAAAAAAGCACCACAAAGTCTCATTTATATTTGTTCAGTGCTAACTGAGACACCAATAACATCCAGAGGCTGGAGGAATTAGCAGCCATTTGGAAGTACTTGCTCTTATCAGAGGTGTCCCCTCAGAAATCTGTGAAACATGGGGTGTGAAATGGCCCCATTAAAAAGATCATATGGAGGCCAGGCTTCAGTAGCAAAAAGTGCAAGTATCCCTTGCAAAAAGTAGTTACTTGCAATGACAGTAAATGGAAAAGAGGAAGCACCTGCTGAAAAGGGCATGAAAGCATCTTTCTTCACAAATTTCCCATTGGCATCGAGAAAGTGCTCAGGGTAGAACATGTCTGGTTTCTCCCACTGTGACTCGTCGCGCAGGACTGAGGTCAGCAAGGGGATGATGTAGGTTCCCTGCAAAACAGGACAGTGGAATTAATACCTGGACAAATTCAGGAAGAAGAAATGTTAAAAAACAATCCTGTAGGCATCTCACCTTGGGAATGAAATAGCCCTTGAGGGTGACATCTGCAGCAGTCTCATGAGGCAGATCCAGTGGCAGGATATTGGCAAACCTCTGGATTTCATGGATGACAGCATCTGTATATGGCATCTGAGTTCGGTGCTCGATCCGTGGGGGGTTTGACCCTATCACTTGATCTATCTCTTCTTGAACCTTTCCTGAGGAAAGAATCAAGTATGAGAAAGAAACAAGGTCTCATTCATCCCTGAGAAATCCTGTGCTTTATTGATGTAAAGTAGAAAAAGAAATGAAAATCATAGATTCTCCAAAAGTCTTTTTTTTTTTCCATTTGGAAATAATGGAAGGTGAACAGAATTAGAGTATTTGATTGTTTCTTTACGAAGAAGAAACCTAAAGACTTTTTTTTGTGCCCTCTCTTCTGTCTAAAGTTCTTACTCTGCCCAACTAGAGTCTCAGAAATCCATTTTGACTCCAAACAGCCCTGTACTATCAACTGGAATGGAGATGTCAGACAAAGGGCAATTCCCTGCATCTTCTCAGGTATCTGATGCCTCAGTACAGTCCATTTAACATCTGCACAGGCCTTTGGTTTATCAACAGCCCATTTCTGAGGGAAACCTGGAACAGTTTCATTGCCCCACACAGGACAGCTCGTGTCTTATTAATTAATGAAATTTTCCTGAGCAAAGGGCCTGGTCTGTACGAACTCTGTTCATAATCTCTGGTAGGTTTGCCAGTGTGCCCCTCACTGGGTCTGGACCACAGCATTACCTAGACTATAATTGATGGGAAATCTTGGCTTTTTGTAACTGTGTATTAACAGATGTGTTGACCCTCCAGCTTCACATTTGGTTCCTAATGCCCTGAGTGTAACAGTATCTGTCATAAAACCACTTACTCTGAATTTCAGGGTATTTTAGCATCAGCAGAAAGCCCCAGTATAGTGTGGTGGAAATTGTCTCAACACCAGCAGTAAACAAATTGCTCATCAAGCTTAGCAAGTTGCCATTATGGAAGTAAGCACTGGTAGTGGATTTCTCCTGAAAAAAGTGGTTGAGATAAAAGGATGAAAACTTAAAGCTTTCCATGTGAGAATGCAATTTATGTAGAAAAACATTTATTAAGAAGTAAATACTGTGTTTTAAAATGAGTATGAAAAGCAAAGAAGAGCTTTGGGCTTGTACCTGGAGAATAATGCTGACCTAGGTTTTATATTTTGCATGATCTCTGTATTTACTGGGTCCAGCTGCAAAGAGAGCTGCTTTCTCTATGGAGAAGGTAACCCAGATATATTAGAGACCCCAAATAAGAGTCCCAGTAAAGCCCAGGTAGTGATTTTATTCTGCAATGAGTTATGTTCGTGAAAGAGCCAGAAAGTCTGGGACAACAGAGAAAGCAGATTAAAAAAAGATGCAGCCTCTGTAAATATATTGATACAGTCTGAAGGAAATAAATAAGAATAAATGTTTGCTGAATAAAAGGGGTTGGAACTGCAACAGAGTGAAGTATGTGTTCAACTCTACCACTTTGTTATATGTGTTTTGTCGAAGACAGATTTCCTAAAGAAATTTAGCTGTAATTATAAGGACTGAAAGGAAGTTGTGTCTTCACAGAGCCATAAAAGTTGCAACGAACGAGAAAAATTTCAGTTACCTCCTTCTGCTTAACCAGGAAAGCATCGATAAGACTTCTTTGGTCATTTTTGTCCAGGTTTTTGAGATGTTCTAGAAAAGTAACTTTTACATAATCATGGAATTCATCTCTGTTTTGGAGAAGAGTCTTGTTAGCCCTTAGCAGGAATCCAAGGTATGGGAAGATGTTGTACATCTACAAGAGTGGAAGTTGTTAGAATTTACAAGCCAGAGGTCTGAAAACACTACAGAAACAAATGAGTGATATTGTGCCCATTTTGCAGATACAAAGACAAAAACTTAACATTAATATTTTGTTCTTTAGAATATGAAAAACTAATTCATGGTAGATAATCCATCAGGGACCACCGAATATAAGGAAAATTCTCAGCCCAAAATTATTATTTTGTAGGAGTAGTGTTGATGTCAGACTCAAACAGCTGCAAGTTACCACCATGGAGATGGAAATATTATCCAGCAACTTTTTTCCTGTTTTAACTAGCTTTACCACTAACTGTCTTTTTTTCTTCAAAGCCTAAAGGAACAGAAATTAATCTGGTGTGAGGCAGCATTGCAAGCAAGTATCAGAGAATATTTGTTACTCCTTAACACTCTTCAAACTATAGTTTAAGTTTGTTTTTGAGAGACTGGGAGTTTGATTGTTGGCTTCAAGATTTCCAGACTGTCTCCCAAGCTTTGTTTTGCCCAAGAAATTGCTCTGTAAACCTATTATCTCCCAAAGTCTTAGATTTGCCTGTTTAACAGAAGACACTCATTACCAGTATTACTACTTTCCCATGTAATCCAGTGGAAAAGCAACATAAGTATGTTTATCATTACCGTGACCAAAGGTTTCCCAGCAAGCCTCACGCTTTCATTGGTCAGATTTAGAAGTCTCACAAATCTGGAATCTTTGTAGTCAAATCGTTTTCCAAGTAATATTGACACAATTATGTTGGCAACTGCTGCATTAATTATTTTACTGGCGTCGAAGGGCTTTCCTGTACAATGCACAAAAGAATGCGTTATGTTGTGGCAAGAGATGTAATTTGTAAATGTAAATATAATAGTAATTATTGCTATTTATTTCCTATGATTGATTGCCGTTATTGATCATCATTCAGTGCCAGAATACATGACACAAAAATGCCAGAGGAGCCAAATCCATCAAATTCATTCAGCCTGTAGAACATTTCTCAAAAAGGTCTGAACTTCAGAAGGTTCAGAAGGCCTCTGGGTCCTTGAGCAAAACCTTAGAGATGGCACTGGAAGAGATTTCCCAGAGAAGCTGTGGCTGCCCCACCCCTGGAAGTGTTCAAGGCCGGATTGGAGCAGCCTGGGATAGTGGGAGGTGTCCCTGCCCATGGCAGGAAGGTAAATGAGATGATCTTTAAGGTCCCTTTCAACCCAAACCATTCCATGATTCCATGTTTCTACGGGTTTGAAGAATGAATCACCCACCCACCTTGTTGTGAGGCAATGGTGTCTCCCAGGTACCCGTATTCCTCCACAATTCGATCCTCAATGGCCCTTTTCCCCATCCCAAAGTCTCGTAAGGTTGTGAGAGTAAATCTTCGCATCACCTTCCAGTTTTCACCATGAGCAAAAACAACCCCTGACACAAAGAGAACATTTCAAGGTGGCAGAAGATTAGAAATGACTGATTTTTCTAGACACAGAATGGAACTGTTTAGCAGTAGTCACTTTTAAAAACTAAATTACTTCTGGCTGAGTCAAAACAACTTTGTCTTAAGTATTGTCAGTCCTCAACAATAGTTTTGTTGGACAAAAAGAAAGATAACTATTTAAGATGTAGCTAATCAAATCTTAAGAAGAGTATATATCCTAAGAGACACTTGTCACTGAAAGAAAGATGGCATTGGAAATTCAAGTTCAAACCACTGATCATCATAGTTTGGAAGTGGAATTGAACTGAGATCTCATGTGTCTGATGATTTCTGGACAAAACTGACTAGGTACAAATGTCTTTAAAATTCAGGTAGTATCTTAAAACCTCCACAATCAGGTTTTTCTTTCCACTGAAATTTTTACACCAATATAACTAATGACTTCAGCTTATATTTTTTCTCCAAATTAAAAAATAAAGTGGAAAGAAAGCTTAAGTGCATAATATGTTCAAAAACTACAGCTGTTAAAATGTGCACAGAATTATTCCTGACTTTGCCCAAGGGTGTAATTTTTGGAGATGTAAATATGAAACTCTTATGCTAAATTAGAATAAAGCTTAGGTATGAAATTTCCATTTTGAAACCCAGCTTAGTATACAGTATGTCCCCTTTTAAAATAGATCCCCAATTCTGTTTGTGTTCCATTCTATTACCATATTCAGAAAAAACACAAGTCCAGAGCCATGTCATGAGAGCTAGAAATACTCCTATGGCCCGGATGCCCTGTTCTAGATCCTGAAATTGTCACAATATCCACTATCTGTTGCTGTGGTTATTTTTAGAGTTATGGCTGGTTTGTTGTCACTGTCAGTAGCTTCAACTTTGAATAAATCCACTGAAGTCAACGAGATTGCTCCCTATTTCCAATGCCTTGTGTGGCCTCTGATCCAAAGTGATATCCCAGCTCCTGCTTTGTCTACAAGAAGGACAAAAAAGTTGAACAAGTCAAGCTGACAAAGGAAAAATAAAACCAACTTACCATTTCCTTTGGTCAAATCTTCAAAGACTGGGATTTTAGGTCTCTCTGCAAATGCATCTGCCTGGTTTACAAGAGCTTCCTTCACTGTCTCATACCCAGAAATCACAACTACTTTCCTGTGCCCCATCTGAACACTGAAGACTGGGCCATATTCCTTTGACAGCTGTCAGGAGAAGAGAACAGGGATTTACAGACTTTACAGCTTATGAAGAAATTCACCCTTTCAGTGCTGCTTATTTCCCTGTCCTGCTTCTGCGTTTCTGCCATGTTAAATATTTTCCCAAGTCCATGGAAAGAGAATTGATTTAAATAATGTGAAGGTGCCAGACATTGTGATGGTTAATGACTAAATGGCACAGTTGGGAGTGGAGCCCCACTATGCCAAAGTAAGCAGAAGTGTCAACCCTAGATCAGCAAAGGATTATGCTGACAGCTCTGTTTTCCCTCAGAAACCCCTCTAAATTTATTTTTTACTCATGTTTTCATACTTATTTCTATGCTATTGCGTTTCTTTTGTTCGTGGGCTAAACTTGTTCAAACCTTTGCTACCATTATTGTGTAACCCCTCCCCCAAACTTTTGTTTTCTGGGCCAGGATTTAGCATTAGGTAAATTCACGCTTTTTATATATGACTATATCTTCCATGAATCTGTCTTGGAGACCTTTTCAGCTGGTACAGGTAGATTTATTTTTATATAACTCATTGTTCCTAATTCTCCTGACAATTGGAGGGGTTTTTCCTGACCTTATTTTCTTCTGTGTTTGCAGAGAGAAACAGAAAACAGCTATTTAGCAACAATGTGGAAAATGTTCAGCAACTGGTAAGCGAGTAGAGCCAACTACATATGAAATAAGAGGAACAGTGACACATATCTGAATTATACTACTCAGAGAACCAGCCTCCTGCATTAGCGTGGAATCACTGGATTACAGCAGAGACATGTTGGTTCTGTTGGCCTGAAAACACATGGAATTTGCTTTTGTGAACATGATCAGGCTGTACTGGATAGCTACAGTGACATTCTAGATTGTACATCTAAGCAATCTTTTGATTTGTGGATGCAACATCCAGATTTGTAGGTGCAAATATCCCTTTTGAAATCATCAGCAAGGAGGATGTGTAGTTGCAATGTCTAAGTGGAAAAAACTCTAAGAAAGGAGCAGGTTCATTGAAGTCTTCTGACTCAAAGTCAGGAAAGCCCTGCAATAAACTGGGTGGAGAAAGTACTAGAAGAAAAACAAAAGGTTTATTATTCTGGCAACTGTTGGCCCTGAATATTAAGTGTATACAGTTATCTTCAGCTTTTGGGGAAGGAAGGAGGAAAGAGAGATGAGAAAGTTTGCTGAATCAGTGAAGGCGAGAAGCTCCAGTAAGGTCCAGACACATCAATCAGTGGAAAGCAGAGGGAGTTAAACCACATATCAAAATCACTCCTTGTTCAGTTGCCTTTTCCTCAAAATTATCACAAAAATAAGGTGGGCCCTTGTTATTAATTTGAGAGTTGTTTAAGACTGAAACCTGGATGCATGAAGCTGCATGGAGAAAATATTACAGTAAAGAACAAATCTTTCTGCATTCAAAGTTTTCTACTCAAATAACTATCTCCTGTCCCTTGCTAAAGGATCATCCATGGATACAACGTCAGGGGCAGTAGGAGAAACTCTCTGACATCTTGGACTATGGGCTCAGTGATATGTGTAGTTATGGGACCAATAGAAAAGAAAATTATTACCTGTACATAAGTCCTGTAGGGTCTCTTCAAATCAAACAAATGAAGGTTTCCAATTATAGGTAATGCTCTTGGTCCTGGAGGAAAATTCTTTCTCTGGTTGTCCCAGAAACCTGCTATTTTCAAAATGTATAGAAAAGCCAGGATGAACACTAAACCAATGGAAGTGCTGCTGCTCCAGTCCATCTCTGTTCAACAGAGTGTTTGCCACAGAAGAGAAAAGAGAAAACGTGGACTCTGGGTCTCTGTCCTCCTGCAAAAATTTCCCTTTGGAGACTTCTGTGTTAGTCCGGAAACCTCTTTCCCAGATACTTTTCTTGCAGTTTGTGACTAGTTTATATCTCTCCCTCTGTGCTGTACCTCAGCAGGTAAATGTTTGCTAGCCAAGTGTGTGACTGGTTGAGAGTATAGCTCAGTGTCCGAGTATGAAAGTCCAAGAACATGGAGAACTACAGGTCATTGACCTGGTTTTTGGTATAAAAGTCATAAACTCTGTACACTGTCCTGGTTACTAATTAATTAAGTTTCTGCCATTAGTACAGGTACAGCCTTGATACCCTGAGAACTGAAATCAAAATGCCACTGCCCAAGGGAGTAGTGCACAGACTTATTTTTTTAAAATACCTAGGAATTGGCATAACTTTGCTTGTATTGAATTCACTGAGAATTTCAGGTCACAGAATCATGGAATGTTTGAGATTGGAGGGGACTTTGGAATTTGTCTGGTCCAAGCCCATTCCTCCAGCAGGACCATCAAGATCCAGTTGTCCTAGACTATATCCAGACAGATTTTGAATATCTCCAAGGTCCTAAACAATTCTAGGATTCTAAGGAGAAAGACTCCACAACCTTCTGGGCAACCTGGAGTGCTTGGTCATTCTCACAGCAAAAAAGTGTTTCCTGATGTTCAGAGGAACCTCCCCTGTTTCAGTGTGTGCCCATGGCCTCTGGTCCTGTCACTGGACACAGGCTGAGAAGAATCTGGCTCTGACTTCTTTGAGCCTTCCTCCAGGTGTTTATACAGACTGGTAAGATCCCCCTGAGTCTTCTCTAGGCTAAACAGTCCAATCTCTCTGTGTTTCCTTGCATAAGAGATGCTGCAGTTCCTTCAGCATCTTTGTGGCCCTTTGCTGGACTCTCTTCAGTCTGTCCGTATCTCTTTTGTATTGGGGATCCCAGAACTGGACACCTCATTGAGAAAAGATGTCCTCTGTTGGCTGAGGAAAGAGGGCTGAGGTGCAGTCTGACTCATGTCTTAGAGTTTAAGAGAGTTGAGCAGCAGAGAGGGAGTTGTCAGAAGAAGCAGCAATGGAGAAGAAACCATCCAGGTCTTTCACTGAGACTGGCCAGAGAAGCTGAGCCACAGCCTGAAGAACAGTGTTTGGAAGAGTTTCTAGTAGAAGTCTAGAGCCCTAAATTGTACATGGCCTTGAGGCAAGAAGGTGAGGGCTGTTTGAGGGGAGGTGCCCAGGCTGAGCCCCTTGTTCTTATCTCCTAAAAGCATCAAGATCCCTGTAGAGATGTGACCAGAGGCAGAGGAGAGGAGTCAGCCCCCGGGGATGGAGGCGCAGAAACCTAGAGGAAAAGTGCCCTGGCACGTGGCTGGGAGCCTGGAACAGGAGCTCCAACAAGCCTGCTCATGTACTGCCTTACCCTGAGTCTGCTGCTGTCCCAGGGTCTCTGAAAAACAGACCAAGACATTTCACCTACCTGGAATGTGTCCTGGAAAGAGTCCAGGGCCTGTGTCCAGCTGAGTGCCAGTTGGCCTGATTCTACTCCACCTTCCCAGGTGGGGTAAAAAGGCACAGAGAATGTCAGGCTTTCCACATATATCCAGAATTTAATTAACAACAAGGAGCTGAGGGGTGACTGAAAGGTGAACTTCTGCAGGAAGGCTTGTGAAGAAGAGGAAGAACTCTCTTTTGGCTTGCCAAATCTCTCACAGTGCATACTTTTTTAACAGGCTGATCCCACTGAGAGAGAAAGAAGACTATACATCCTCAAGAAATGTCAAATAAATACAGTTGGCCATCTGATCATGAAATTCATGCATTTAATCAGCAACGGATTTGAATACAAATATGAAAAGAAATTTTATAAGCAAATATTCAGCCAACGGCTTTAAAATAAATTTGCCTTTCAATAATGAAATACAAAGATACTGCTCTGACAGAGCTGAAGAACTGTAAAACAATCTTCAAATTATGATCATCCACTGGTGTTTTGACAATAAACTTGACCTTTGGTTGGTTTAAATAAGATATAATTAAAGTTTTTATTCACTTAAAAAAATAAACCTTATTTAAACTTTTTTAACGTAAAAACTAACATGTCAAGGTGAGAACAAAGGTAAGACACAATGTTTAATGGTTATTGGAAGGAATAAAAAATTGTCAGTCTTTTATGAGAAAGAAAAGAAACACTGATGATCATAAACCTTGAGTTTAGAGCAGTTTACTTGTCTTTTCAGTCCCAACCTCTAAGCTTGTCCTCCACCCATCTCTTGTTTTCCTCCTTACTTTCCTTTCCTGCCAGAGTGAGGCTCCCTCATGGAAGAGCAAAGTTCTTGGCAAGATATTTTATATCCAGTAACATATTACACAGAAGTTGTAACTAATTATTAAAGAAGCTCTACTGACTCAGGGTATTTAAAGTTTTGATTAACTGGGAAATAACCAATCAAAGAAAATACCCTAAGACAGAGAACCAAATGCCACTGGCAGCTGAAGTATGGAGGTGAGCAATTAGGGAAATGACCCTTCAGAAGAACAAATCATACACTTCAAGGGCACAGTGACATGGAAAAGAAAGTAACATTTGAAGCTCTGATTTAACAAAATGATCTATCTCCCTCCTCTGTTTTTTTTGAGAGAACCTGAATGACTGATTTCTCTGGGACAGGAAACTTCTGAGAAAAAAAGGCAGAGGACAATAATGAGTTCTTGAAGGATGAGGGTGTGGATTACTGTGGAAAGATTATAAGGAGAACTGGAGAACCAAACTGCATAGTTCATTTTTCCCCTTTTTGTTTTAAAAACTAAAGATAACTGTTGAGGGCATCATTGGTCACGGAAGGCTCAGCCTGAATATTAGGAAAAAATTCTTCACTGAAAGAGGGGTTAAACACTGGAACAGGCTGCCCAGGGAAGTGGTGGACTCACCATCCCTGGAAGGGTTCTAAAACCAAGTAGACACGGCACTTCACAATATGATTTAGTGGGAAAGGTGATATTCCATTCCAGGTTGGACTTGATGATCTTGGAGGTCTTTTCCAACCTTAATGATTCTATAATTCTGAAAGATTTACTGACAGTGAGTGGTACTTCCTCACTCAGGCATTCCTGGGTGGACAACACTCAGAATCAGTGAAATTACCTCACCTCTGTAAGGTTAATGAAAGACCCTCTGAATGCCCAAACAAGATTTTGAGGGGTGACATTCCTGTATTGAAGATAAGATTTTTAAAGGCTGTCTACATATGAAATATTTTTGAAGTACTTCAATACTTTGCAAATTATACAAAACCCCTTCTAAAATATCTACATATGCAATATTTACATTGTTAAATACCTTCTCCATTTTTACAAATATGATTGTGTGAAAGCTTTGAAAGGATAAAGCATATTTTATAGCCAACAAGGTAGAACAGAGTCAGTTGCTGTACATCTGCAAAAGAGCATATCTGAACTAAAGTGTATTACAACAAATGTGTTTTCATCTATAGGTAGAAATGTGGCATATATAGCAGTATACAGCTGATATAACATGAGACAACCCTGACAAGTATCTTTCTAAAGTTTTTGAAGGAAAAATACATCAGGACAACTGAAAACATATGTGCTATTTTATATGAGAGGAGTTTTTCTCTTTAGTCTGATGAGTCAGACTTGAAATAAGATGCTAATATAAATAAAGTCTTTGAAGTTCACCCACTTTAGCTTGTTCTTCTGAGACATCAGTTTTAGCTTTCCATGTCCAAATAATGCACTGAAGTGTTCCTTCTGCTAGATTTCCAATCCACTGCTTCTCCCTGGATTACTCCATGCACATGGGCACAGATGTGGGGTGTGACTCTGCTCCCAGCTACTCTGATCTTGTAGAGTTCCTTCAGCCCCCTCAATTTTTCTATCTCTTAGCTGAGCAGCCACTGTCATCACTTCTCAGGTGGAGTTAATCTACACTGATTTAGCTTCACTTTTCTTCTTTCTGCTTTCTCTTGTTTTAGGAGACAGTGACTTCAAAGTCAGTGACTCACCACATGGAAGTCCTCTCTGAGTCTTCTGTAGGTTGGGCATGGTTTCTTTCCAATCAGTTCCTAACAACTCATGCTTTTTTGGAGCTAGCATTAATTCAGTTCATATTTATTAACATTACCAGTGCTACAACCCACTTATTACTGCTGAATGTAATAAGACATATTATGCAACTACCTGATTCTCAATTCCCTTATTTTGTCCCTGAAACAGTCTAAAGAAATCTGTGACTGTAATGAAATTTTTCACAATTTCACTTTCTTCTCTCTTTCAATAAACATATTAACAATCTTGATACTCATATTGCCACTTAGAGTAGCTCATCAATCGCTGTATTCTGTGCTTTGCCGTGAGAATGACTTCAACATTTTGTTTCCTGTTGTAATCAATCTTCAAAATACAGCCCATTCCCCCCCCATCCCCATCCAAAAATAAGACAACAAACTTTCTTAAAAAGTTAATATGGGATGCTCTGGTGAAAAGCTTGTTAGAATCTGAATAAAAACTATCAATTAATTTCTTCTTGATTACCTCTACACAGCTGAAGGATGTGATTGTAACACAGAAATCTTGCAGTTAAATATATTATTCCAGAGAAATCTTGAAACCCAAAATTTGTTACAATAGCTATATTGACTCAGTGGCAACCAAAGATAATTTGATATAGATAATTTTGATGATGAACAAATATATTAGAAAGACCTAATTAATTCTCCTGGGCTTGGCGTAATGACTGCATACTCTAAAATCAAGCTTGCTTTATATCACAAAAATATAGTTATTTACAGCTACTTCTTAAAACCCTCTGGTGGTAAGGGAAATACTTGGATGTTGTTTCTTAGCATTAGAAATGTAAAAGAGCTTCATTAGCACAAATATTACAGACTAATTATTTTTCTACATGGCAGCTTCAAATCTGCTGTTCTCGTCACGGTTGCTGGAGAGAATTTCATGTCCTTTCTCCTCTTCTGGAACCTGCCATAAAAAACAGAAGAGTTCAGTTAATGAGATATAGACTTACTTTTACCATGAAAGAAGACTAAAATGTGCTGAGAATGTAATTCTATTTGTATATGTTATGTTTCTGCTTATCAACATTGACACAGCCTGCCATGAACAACCAGTTCTGGATTCTGAGGGGTGAATTTAGGGTCTTGTTCATAGAAGAATTCCCTAACACTGATGTCAGCCGTGAGAGTACAGAATTAATATCTGGGATTTTCAAGGAGCTCTAAAGAAACAAGGAGACTTCTCTAAAGAAATACAGATGATGTTGTATGCCAGATATCAATGTTCCATCCCATTATCTGATAAAGCTCATCTGGAATTGAGTATTTTTGATCAGTGTTAGTGATACTACAGGGCCTTCAGTAGAGCAGGGGCTGTTATTATCACGGGTCAACACAGGCTGTAAATTCTTCAGCCTTTGTAAAACTTTTCTTGTCCTGACATTTTTTAACATTTACATGTGACAATACATTTTACGTCTTTCCAAAACCAGTGCTTTGACTTTCCCAAGGTCAACCAGCACATATCTTGCAGAGTTGTCATTAAAATATTTTAGGGGTTTTTTTTGGCTGGTTGGTTGGTTGGTTTTTGTTTGTTTGTGGTTTTGTTTGGTTTTTTTGTGGTTTTGTTTTTGTTTTTCTGATTGTCATTGCTGCAGCTGATCTTTTGGCTCAAAACTTTCTGTTAGACTGCAAACCTTCTCTCACCAAAAGCCAAATTTTGTGGCTGGTCCATATTGGAATTTAATTCATTAAAACACTTAACAAGAACTCCTTTTTGCTTTAGTACATTTTATTTACAATGAATGTATGTCATGTATTAATTCTTGCCTTGCCTTTTTGGGTTTGTCCTGGCATAAAGGATAAAATTCAGGTTATCTAAATTAGGAGTATGTCATCAGTCTCTAATAAGGAAGAGGACACTTGATACAGTGAGCACTTAAAAGAGAGATAAAGAGCTCCACTGACATATCAATCTGTTGGCTCCCTTTCTATTTTTTGTTCAAAAGGCCATGGCTAGCTAAGAAGTCCAGAAAAGGTCCTGAAGTTGGCCTTGATAAATCCACAGCCCGAGGCAGAGCATCATTTTTGAAAGTTGACTCAAGCGTGCAAACCACCAACCCAGGAGAGCAGGGCTGCAGTGTGATGTATATTTTCCAATATCACAAAAATAAAGGAGGTTGTATCTTACCTCCCAAAAAGCAGAGTCATCAAAGCAGTTCTGGTCAGAGACTTGTCCCCAGAAGGGCAGCTTTAGAATAGCACCTGCAGGAAAAACAGCATTAGAGGTTAAAAAAATTGAGAAAATGACCCAATAAATGTCCCTAAGATGTGCCCTGGGGAGTCAGCTAAGATTTCTGATTCATTTCCTTATCTACAGAAATATCCAACCATCTTGGAACATCAGGTCACTTATTCTGAGGGGTGATGCAGATTTCTTCATATAAACATGAATAAAAGCTTCTTTTTAATTGCTCAAACTTTCCCCAGACTTCAGACTGAAATTTCCTGGGTTTTCTTTGTTTGGAAGTATTCAATAACACATGGAAACATGTGACACCTCATTGAATATGTATTAGTCTCAAACTAGTTACCGTTCAGAATTTTAAATCTGGAGAAGAATTCCATCCAGAACAACATGTTACTATTCCTATGTATATATATATCTATATATATCTGTATCTATATCTATCTCTCTCTCTCTATATATATCTATCTAACTCAGTATCTTTGAAGCATGTATTCAGTAGGATATCTAAAATCATGGAATCAGAGACACGGAGGTTGGAAAAGACCTCCAAAATCATCAAGTTCAACCCCTGACCAAACATCACCTCGTCAATTAGACCAGAACACTGAGTGCCACATCCAGTCGTTTCTTGAGCACGTCCAGGGATGGGGAGTCCACCACCTGGGCAGCCCCTTCCAATGTCTGACAACCCTTTTAGTGGAGAAATTCTTCTTATGTCCAACCTGGACTTTATTTGAAGAAAAAAATATTGAAAAAGCTGCATTTCTACCAGTGTGCCATCGTGCATTACTTCTATTTTGTGTTATTCACATGAAATTGTTGATACATTGATGTTCTCCATGGAAAAGACTCTGAGCTCACACATAGTTCAGTTGCTACATGCATCAGACTGACCTGTCAATGCTCCTCCCACCAGTGCAATTCCAAGTGTACTTCCCAGGGCAGCGGCCTGCTTGCCAGGAGTTAGCTGGACACCATGCCTGAAACGGGTAGAAAACAAACCATTGACGATTAAAAAATTGAGACTGATAGTTGGTCTTACAACATTGTACTTGCTGCCTGCTGGACTAAGTGGCTCATAGGAAAATATCCTAGAATCATCAAAGTTGGAAAAGATCTCCAAGAACATTACGTCCAACAAATCCTGCCATTGTTGTGTACAAGACAAATCATGACTTTAATTTGACTTGGTTTAGACTTCAAATGAAAACAAGTTCTTTGAAAAGATTATTAGTATACTGTAAGCTTTTAGAGAATGCTCTCTGTTGTCAAAAAGATCAGCATTTCATCTTCTTGGAGTCTTATAAGATAGTGGAAAAGGCCCATTTTGCCAATTTGTTTTGAAATATTACAGTTACCAGCAGTGCAATTGTAGAGTCATAATAAATATTTTTCTATGTTTGAATGGTTCTGTGCACTGAGTTTTTAATGATGATTTTATTTTTTTTTTGGGTTTTTTGCATTTTTAATCTGGAACACACTTGGCATTTAAACAGAGTGTTAAAGGTAGGAGATTAAGAAGAATCCCATTCAAACCAGAATATGATGCCTGTCATTAAATCAAAGGTGTATTTCTGAAAAAAAAATCATAATTAGATCCAAAGAAGGTAGAAAATTAAGATAGATGTTCAAAAATTAAAAGAAACCTTTTTCTCATCTCTCTGTAACTCACATTGTCTGGTCTGTTACTGCGGTTACTATGATGCCAGCGATACCTCCCAGAATTCCAGGCAAACCATGCAAATTATGAACTCCACAAGTGTCTTGAATGTTCAGCTTGGATTCCAACAGAGGCTGAAATGAAGGGAAATCGGAAGTTTATAGTGAGTTTATAGAATTCCATGATCTCTAGAATGATGTGCAAAAGAAAGTAGTGCAGAAGTACAAAAATCAAATCATTATTATTAAAATAATCAAATTATTAAAAGTCACCATTTTCTAGAGTTTGCTGCATCAGCCAGTTTCTATCCTCCCTTTCTAGCAAATGCACGGAGCTCCAGGAAATCCAAAGGGCAATAAGTAAATGAGAGCAGAGGTGGGTCCCCAATACTTACAGTCAGGAAGCGGAACCCAAGGACAGAGACAATTCCAGCAAGGATCCCAATGCACATGGCACCAAAAGGGTAAATGCGTAGGTCAGCACAGGTACCCACTGCTACTCCTCCTGCCAGGGTGGCATTTTGAATGAGAACCTGCAAAGGTGACACAGAGGGGGAAGTGATATATGAGGAAGAGAGTTTCCTTTTAGGACTGAGTGCCTCTGAAGGCTCTCTTGCACACAGAACTTTTCCTTTTCTTCAGGTGAGATTTTTCCAATGAAGAAGGAATGGGAACTTAAAGCAAGGTTCCCTGCTACATATTCTTGCTTTCGGTTCAAAGTTGCTCTAAGCCACTTTAATGTGGCTTAGAGTCCAGCTAAGTCCAGCTTTTGCAAAGTCACCAAAACTCTGATCTCTTGAGAATCCAGGCTGAGTGAGAGAGAGCTGCCTCCTACAACAGCAGCAAATCCTGATCCTGATCATGCTGAGCTCAGACAAAACTGCAGCTGCGGGAACGAAGTGGGTGAAAATGTAGGGCTGGATTTTAGGGCCAGGAGATGAAAGGTTGTCACCCTGGCAGCCCCAAGTTAGTTTGGTTTTGCCTGTTGTGCAGGTGCACTGTGAGATTGTCAGGGAATAGTTCCTTGCCTTAGGAGACCTATTTTGGCTCTTGTAATAAGATAACTCAAATAGGGCTGTCTTTGGAATAAGACTCAGAAGTCCACCTGAACACTAATGTCACTATGATCCAGCAGGTCCTGTGGACAAGAGAAAATCATCACAGATTCATAGAATCATTAAGGTTGGAAAAGACCTTTAATGTTATCAAGCCCAACCATCAACCCTGCACCACCACCGGGACAGTCTGCTCCAATGCTTTCCTGTTTGGTTTAGAGCTGATTAAATCACATAAAACTTAAGAGTAAGGAAATATTTTAAAATATAAAATATCCATGTTGTGGTCATAGACTCAGTTGGTATTAAAAGCCTACACAAAAAGAAAAATAAACACGATAACTTTAAAAAGTAGAAGGAGAACTAGCCATATTTTACCAAAATTCATATTTGGAAAAAAACCCCAAACATTTGAAGGCTAAACTCCACGCAAACATAAAGAAAATAGTATAAAAGTAAGTTGGGGATAAGAGGAAAGTGGAAGAAGACCTCCATTGAAACTACTGGGATCAGTCGATGGGCTGAGTCGATTCTCTCCCCCCCTCCCCGAGAGGGATGCCTGGGGTGAGAAATATGCTCTACGCACGTTAAATGCTGCTTTTAGGACTAGAGCTTTTGCTTGTGCTTACACCATAGTATATTAATTAGATTGCTTCGTATCAGAGCTTGTGCTTGCTTAATATTTGTGTCAGTAGATTGCTTTAAAATATATTTTTGCAGTAGACGTTATCTCCGACAACTTTCAAACATTATTAATCTGTCAGAATTTGTATTAATAAAAAATATTATTCTGTAAATTGCTAAAGTGAGTCCTTGCAGTTGCTGGTGGCGGACAACACCTTGGCAGGACCTGCTGAGGGGTCCAGGCTCTGTTGAGTTGCCCCTAACAAGGGAGGTCGAGGTACGCTCCGATCTTATAGATCTGGTGGTGAAGGGTCTCCTTACGAGATGCTGACAGACTGTTGGACACCAGGGTCTCAACTTTCCTGGGGGACCGATGAGCAAATATCTGAACTCCCACCTTTCACATGACACTTATTATAGAGGGTTGACTCGATTTAACAGAGGTCATGATGCGATTCTTACCATACTGAATTTGCCTCTTTTGTCCACCAAGCTAGAGAGGGCAAATGTTACGATGGTACTTGCAGCCAAGGAATAGTAAGTGTTGATAATTGCTGTTGTCATGTCTTCCCCACTTGCAATGGCAGAGTTAAAACTGGGCCAAAACAGCCAAAGGAACAGGGTACCTGGGTGAAATACAAGTCAAAACAAAACAAAGGCTATTCAGTCATAAAGAGTATTTTAATGTGAAAGACCCAACACAACACAGGTAGCTACAAGAAATGAGGGAGATGATTAATAAGAAACATGGACTAGCCAAAATACTGGAAGAAATAATAGAATACACAGCTTTTGACACTGGCAGCTGGGATTTTGACACGTGATCTCTGTCAAATCTTGCTAACATGTTGTGACCCCTTGTCACGGGCCACTTACTGCCAGAGCAATGTGAAACACCAATCAGAATAAGAGGCATTAGCAAGACAGTTCACATGCAAATCTTTTATCACCTATAGATATAAGTAATAGTTTTAGATGTTTAATTGGTCTATGAATAGATCTCATGGACACACAGGTATATGGTACACAGTCATTACCATGACAGGCACAACTCAATCCTTTTAAATGTGATGGTTTTCTATGGAAATACTTCTTAAAAGCAGAAGATTTAACAAAAAGGAAGTCACCATGAATGTACAGTGAAAACGCATCTTTACTTTGATCTTTCTTTTCTTTTAACCAAGGAAAAGCTGTATAAATATATGTGTATCACTGAAAATATGATGCATGCATCAGACTATAAAGAATTTACCTCTAGGAGTATACTTAGGAAAATGAATGTAGTGCAATAATAGGTAATCAGTTAAAAATAGAGGTGGAAGAGGAATAAACAACTAACTGATCAGCACTCACTCTTACTTCACTTACCAATCATGGCAAACATGTCTGAGTGATAGGTGGATTCATCATTTTCATGTTTGTTTTTCAGACCAGGACGATACAACACTAAGGTTACAGCCAAACCAAAATAAGCTCCAAAAGCATGAATAGTCATTGAAGCTCCAACATCTGTGGCCTGTAATAGGGACCCAAAATAAGACTTCAGATTTTATACAACATAAAGATGAAGATTTGATGAAAGAGAAGTCTGGATGACTTTAATGGTTTAATTTCTATGGTAGAAACTAAAACCTAGAATATACAAACAGGAAGTATTGTATATTTCACAGGAAGTGAAAGTATTTGTTATAAAGAGAAAACAATTATTGCTAGATAGTTGTACCTGAAGTACTTCGGCAACTAGATGTTCATTGCATGCAAAGATGGTGATCTCCAGAATTGTCAGGATCAGCATCTGAATGGGAGTTGTTTTCCCCAGAACTGCTCCAAATGAAATCAAAGCAGTTGCTGTACTGAAGTCTGCATTTATCATGCTGAATGTAAGAAAATAAATAAAAACGGAACAAGGTAAAGCAAAAAACCATGAAAAAGAGAAAAGCAGTTTAAAGGCTGTAATATCCAACATGACATATTAATATGATAGAGCTTTAACTTTTCAAGTATAAAATTATCAAGATCATCTTTGGGGGTAAAAATTGAATGAAATCTTTCCAGATGGATTTTGTAGGGATCTTACCAGCTACTGAGGAATAAGTATGGGATGGTTTCCTCCTGCTTATACCATAAATGTGCCTAACTGGTTGAAATTATAATGAAAAAACAGATGAGATGTACATTGCAGTTGTGCAGGGATATCATAGAATCATTTAGGTTGGAGAAGAACCCCTAAGACCATTAAGTCCAACTGTTAACACAGCACTACCAAGTCCACCACTAAACCATGTCCCTAAGCACCACATCTGCATGTTTTTTTAAAAGCTTCCAGGAATTTGACTCCACCAGTTCCCTGCACAGCCTCTTTCATTGCTTGATAACCCTTTCTCTGAAGAGATTTTTCATAATAACGAATCTAAACCTCCCCTGGCACAACTTCAGGCCATTCCCTCTTGCTCTGTTGCTTGTTACCTGGGAGAAGAGGCCAAACCCCACCTGGCTACAACCTCCTTTCAGGGAGTTGTAGAGAGCAAGAAGGTCCCCTCGAGCCTCCTTTTCTCCAGGCTGAGCCCCCCAGCTCCTTCAGCTGCTCCTCATCAGACTTGTGCTCCAGACCCTTCCCCAGCTCTGTTACCCTTCTCTGGACACGTTCCAGTGCCTCAATTTCCAGCCCTGTCTGCCACTTGGATTTGAAAGATGACAGGGAGGTCTCAGCTTCAGTCTGATGGTTTGTATCATTCTGAAAGTCTTGCATGACTTTCTGTCACTGTGCATCATGTTTGCATGACCTATCAGGCAGATTCGGCATTAACATGTTTTGGGGAATGGCAAGGGTAAATAAAACTACAAATTTGTCAAGAACTTGGAGCACAGAGAGGCACTAAATTATGGATCCATCTACAAATGCCTGCCTGTGAGCATTAAGGAGCTACTTAGAGTATTCCTGCTTGTCCTGCAGTAATGTTTGGATGCTGTTGCTTTCAAAATTGTCTACAAGTTGCCTCAGAAAATAGAACTTCAGATGTGAAAAACACTCTGAGGCCCTGGTAGAAGTAGGATAGATGAATGGGAGGGGGATTAAAAGTTACTGGAGACATCACTCATGAGGTCTCTTATTCTGTGATCGGTGTTCAGACCCTACTGCAGTGTGATGCTCATGAAAATCACTCCTTAGGAAGTAGAAGAAAAACTTGTGAGTGGATAGAGATGCTGTTCCAGGCTTTCTTCTGTGACCCTGTGAGTCATGGAAAGACAGATCCTTCCATGCCTGCTGGATGCAGGATATACTGTGCTACTGCTGAAATCTTCCAGCTTCTACAAATCCAGAGACTCAAAGCAATCTCTCTGCAGGACTTACAGCCCACACATAATGAATGTAGCACCTCAAATTTCATTCCACCCTTTGGCTCCTTTGGCCCAGGTGTGGCCCTCTTAGAGGTGAAGAGAGATGGATTTTGAGAAGTGGACAGTAAGGCTTAATGAAATTTAGGTGAACCTAAAGTCTGATCCCATAGATAGTGTAGTTTATGGCTTCTCCTGATATCCTAAGGGACAGAAATATCATTTTTTGTAAATTCACATATACCTTCTGACATCAGTTTGGATTTTCCCTCCATGCATGTGCCAAAATCCTTGCATCAGGGTTCCCCACTGGAGACCGAATGCAGCAATGAGCATGTTGATGCCAACGCTGCTGAATCCATATTTCTTCAGGAAGGTCATCAGGAAACCAAATCCAACAAATATCATCACGTGGACATCCTGAAAATCTGAAGGGAAAACACGTCTGTGTAGTGACAATGAAAAGTGACTGGGAAGTGTAGAAAGCTAGGGATAAAGGAGGATTTAATAGAAAAGAATTCCAAGTCCTCTCATGGATATGACACATTCTTCCCCACTTTGTGACCAGTCTACTGGGTGAAGACTGAGTGTCTGGGAAATGCAACACCTAATTATTGATAATATTCCTTCTAATATCACTATAGAAAGAACATTCTGCTTGGCATCCCAAAAAACTACTGTACAAGACATAGATTTATTTACATGGATAAAAGAAAAAGTCATTTTAAGGTAAAATTTGAATTAAAAAATTAATATCATTAGTCAACAGACACTTAGTCTTTCTTCAAATGTTTAAGGTTTTTTTCCAAATATGAATTTTGTTAAAATATGGCTAGTTCTTCTTCTACTTTTTAAAGTTATTATGATAATTTTCTTTATTTTTAGGCTTTTAATACCAACTGAGTCTATGACCACAACATGGATATTTGATATTTTAAAATATTTCCTTACTCTTAAGTTTTATGTGATTTAATCAGCTCTAAACCAAACAGGTTTGAGTGCTATAATAACAGCTTTTTCTCTGATTTATTGTTAGTAAGAACCTCTAGTATAGAGAAATTATTTCTTTTAATTTCTATTTCATTGCTCTTACATACCAATGTGCATGAAAAACTTGAGACATTGAGCTGTTTAGTATAATATTTGGCTTGAAGTTACAATTCCAATTACTTTAAGCATTCCTTAGTTTTGCTATATGTGTTACCAGATTCAGCCAAAAGAGGGCCCAGAAGTATAAGTTACTGGAGATTCCTGATAAACTTCTGCATTTGCAGTGTCATATTCCAGCCCTGACCTAGCACTGAAACACTTACAGGTGTGTAGTAACAGCCTTTATGTTGCATCTAAGAAATGGCATTGTTAGTTGGCTTGGAATTAGATGATCTTTAAGGTCCTTTTGAAGCCAGGCTGTTCTATGATTCTATAGAAATGCAGGTGGTTCACAAATATCCCCAATCCTTTTGCCTCCTCCTTAGGCTGGATATTTTAAAGCTGTCTGGACTTATTTACACAAATAAATGTAAATTAGAAGTCCTGGTTAAAACTAGGTTAATTCATGGATGTTGAGGACAAATTCTATTGAGTCTAGCCTAGCCTATACCTTGAGCTTTAACTACCTTCATGCTTTGTTATAGAGAAGAGTAGGTCTGGAATGATTTTAAATGATGAAGAAAACAGCCTGATTTGAACTGAACTGTTTCAGTAACTGGTTGCGTTTAGCAAAGCGTGGTAGTTCTATTCTGTGAAGCAGGAAAATAAAGATTGGGAAAAATGCTCCGGCAGATCCTGAGCAAAACCATTGCACAGGATTCTCCAAGGCTGCCCAAGACCAACATAATTCCAATGCAAGGTGGTCAGTCTTAACACAGAGATGCTCGTGGTATCTAAGTTTATACTGAAACTGATTGCTTTGACTAAAGTAGTAAACCACAGAACCCTGAAGAGGGATGCATTGGTTTTCCTAAGCCTTGAGTCATGGATCAATCACAGGACAACGCATACAGGATACCAGTACTAAAGAAATCCTGTTGGAGTGCTTGAAGAACCATCACACCCCCTTGTTCTCCCATTCCAGCAGCACAGGGCACCTGAAGTTGTCCATCCAGTTTGCCATGCCTGTACTTGCACCCAGTAGAAACAGTATAATGCAAAGCTATTATTGGGAATGATCTCAGCTCAGCATTCCTTCCCTGAGTGCAAAGCTATGGTGATCCTCCATTATTATTTTCATTTTTTCCTCTGTTCAAAACGACGGAAACAGCTCGAATTTATTGTGCTGAGGTGCTTAAGACATATAAAATCAGGCCCTGCACTGTAGTTCTGAGAATATAACTTTACCCCTGGATGGAACAATTAAATCTCTGAGGTACAGATGTGTTAACATCCTTGGGGATGGCATGGGAAGCCATTTGAACACATCATTTTGTGGACTCAGGGGAAGTCCTGGTTCAAGGTATATCCTATTAAACCTATACAACCAGAGCATTAATTTTCTGTCAGGTCCTCAGATAAACTGTACTTTTGTGTGCATTTTGTAGACAGCTAAATTTTAGAGGAAGGGGTCTTAAAAGTGAAAATACAGGTATTAGGAAATCCTGCTTTTTATTCTCATTCTTTATTGGCAATGAGCTCTGTCAGGTCAACATCGACAAGTCCAGCATGACATCCCTGGTGTTTGCTTAGTTTATGTCTCTACTGGTAATGTGAGCAGCCTGGCCAACAGGCACATGGTACAGGTTGATTCACACCTGTACAGCTATATGTACTTCACTCCCAACTTTTCTTACCTGTAGTACTTATTAAAAGCAGTCCCTTATCCATGCTATGCTTAAAGCCATACCTAGGAGCAGGCAAAGGAGCTGGTTTGTATGAGCCAAAGCTGTTTCAGAAGGTTGCTCACAGGTCAACAGTGTGGGCAGCTGAGGGACAGCACACAGGAGCAGCACAGTCATACACTGCCTGTTCAGGGAGGCATGGGAAACAGCAGAAAATTCCTCCCACACCTCTTAGACACTGGTATTAGGGAAGAAATAACTATAGGTGGTCCCTAACTGGATAGGTTACATTTGAAGACCTCTTCTTTGTGATGTTGGTGAGATTTCTGCCCTCTCTCTGATGCCTTTTTAAAATGGAGATATCAAATTAAAGCAGCCTACCCCAGGAGCTCCCCAGGGAACCAGTGCCCATGGTGATGTGTGTGGTACAGGCAACATCCATACAGAAGAGGTTTACTCAGAAATGCACCACAGTACTGTAAGACTACTAAATTGCTGGCATTAAGCAGAAGAATCCAATGCACTTTCCTTCATTTTCCCTTGTATAAAGGGGACTCCAAGAAAATGCAGTCAGTTTAGTACCAGAGCCAGAGGTATGATTCTGAGAATGGAGGAGTCATTTTCTCTGTTCTTGAGGGGCGAAAAACCAGTAAACTGAATCTGAAGGTCCTGTGTCCTAAACATCATCCTTCTGGTTTACCAAATTATACAAAGATGGCCCAAACAATTTTGTTCTGTGGTTGTATCTGTTGTTGTCATGTTCTTTTGGAATAGAGTCAGGGAAGGGGTAGGTGGAGAGGTGTTTTAGGCAATAGCTACCTTAAAAAAAAAAGTAAATAATACAATTATCTGTGCTGTCAAATTATTACTGTGGTTTCTGGCATAGCTTTTGCCTAGGTGTCACCTCCTGGGTGACAGTGGACCAAGAGCCATTCCCAATATACTATCTAGCTATGGCCACCTAATTTAGGAACTTGGGTAGTTCAATACAACTGGGATAGTTCGATATGACCTCTGTTAAGAGAGCTGGGGTTGTTTAGCCTGGAGAATAGAAAGCTCTGGGGACACCTCAGAGCACCTTCCAGTACTTAAAGGGGCTATGAAAAAGGGGGACAATGACTTTCTAAACAGGCAGATAATAAAGGAGGAAATTCTTTATCCTGAGAGTGGTGAGATCCTGGCACAGGTTGCCCAGAGAAGCTGTGGCTGCCCCATCCGTGGAAGTCTTCAAGGCCAGGTTGGACGGGGCTTGAAGCCACATGGGATAGTGGAAGGTGTCCCTGCCCATGGAAGGGGGGTTGGAACGAGATAATCTTTAAACTCCCTTCCAACCCAAACCATTCTCTGACTCTATGATTATCATTGACGTGGCCAATCTGTATCACAGAAATGGAATGGGCTCTGGCGTAGCTAAGTCCCTGTGTCTCAGAGATACTGCTGCATTTCAGTGGAGTTAACCCAAATGTGAGAGATTAGCCCCTGATGTTCATCAGCTGACTTGCATCTGGAGCTGAATAATGCTGTGCATTCACTGTTCTCTCAGCCAGACAACGCTCTCTGTGAGAATACAAGACACAAGACTAGACCCTGAGATCACATTCCCCTGTAACAATCACTGAAAGGACAGTTAGAATGAGACAAAATGAGGGATAGATTCAAAATTACAAGGGTACTACATGCAGGCAAGGAGTTTTGTACTTCTATGATCCTCATTAAGAGGACTGCAATCAGGGCTACAAGTCATTGAGGCATCAGAGCCAAGGAAAAGAATGAGAAACCTTCAATACTGCCAGGAAAACACAGTCTGCAGCTCTGCAAACTTTGTTTTCTGTTTATTCACAACAATCTTATCTTTGCATGAGGAAGAGGAGGGTGAGAGAAGTCAGCAACTACTTCTCAGGCCAAAAAACTTCCTTCTTCATTTCATCAAGCATTTGCAGAGCAACAAATCAACAGAAACATTTGAAGGCTAAACCATCATTACCTGATGGAGCTACTGCTTTGGAAGAGAGCAGGGGGTTATCCAACTTGTCACAAAAACTATGGCTCTTCGTGGAGTCTGTATTCTGCAAACATTTTGTAATGATGATGCACATGCTGCCCATTTTCCATGTTCTCATAAGACAACCTTTCAAAACCTGGATGATTAATGTTCTAATAATTTTAATTATTTAATACAGTTATCAGGATAGAAGTTTTGGCAAGAAACGCTCCCATCCATCTCTGGAAAATGCTAGAATCTTTCAAAGCAATATATAGTTCTCCAAGTTTTGACCTGCTGTGCAAACACTAGAACTACTTTCAGGACTCTTCTCTCCCAGAACAGTGAAATTCTCAGCAGTAAGGTACTTACAGAATTTTATATATGCTCAACTTGAATTTTTCTTTGAAGCCTGCTGCTTTCACACCTCAGAAAAATTTGTTTGCCCCAAAGCACGACTTTATTTTCTATCTGTTTCAGCAGGTCTCTTAAGTTATTCAGAAATCTTGCCTAGGATTAGCTTAAGGAAATTCTAACTTCGATAATTCTTAGACAGCAACACTTACGTGGGTATAAGGCGTCAAAGTCACTACCGATTTTATATTCCACAAATATCCCAAACAAAACAATGGTGATCACTTCCAGAAGGAGTGCTAGGATGGAGAACTTGAACCTCATGTTGGTGTCCGAGGCTGAAGGCATTGCTGTAGAGCAGGGGGCTGGGAGAGCTTGATAATGGGCGTTTGCCTCCAGCAGAGCTGCCTAATTCAGTGGGTCTGGGTGATACAGCAAAAAAAAAAAGAGATACAGAGGCATGAACACACCGTCACACCCACTATGGGAGGGAAATATTATGGATCAACACGGCGATTTCTGTTTCCCAGGCTATTTCTGTGTGTGAAATCCTGCTTACATGCCTTTCCCCCCCACAATGTGTATTGAAAACCAGCTCATTCAGCTACAGTTGTGCTTCTCACTGCCTCCCTTTAAAAAGGAAATAGCCTTCAAGAAAATCTCACAGAGCCTGTTTTGCTGCACGTAGTAAGGAACACAGCAACTCTCAACTGTGTTTCCTGTAGTCAATAATATTTTCAAGTTGTAGCTCTTCTTTGAAAAGGTAAATAATTTCTCATCTCAAATAAACCATGGAAAATCTCCTACCTTCTCATACAGGATGTGATAAGCAAAGAGAATCTCTTTCAGCATCCTGAAGACATACTTGGTTTTATTTCACTGTGAAGTTCTCATTCTCAGAGCACAAAGTGTCATTGTAAACTTTTATTTAGAAAGAAAATGATTGTACTTCTTTGTAAGTAAAAAGGATATTCCTAGTTCTGAAAAAAGAAAGCTTTACGTTATTAAAAAGGAATTTGAAGAAAACAACTCAGTTTTTCAATTTGAATTATTGCCTTTTTTTTTGCATTTCCCTTAACTCAGACAATGCAAATAGGTCAGAGACCAAATCTGTTACACGATTTTAAAAAGCTCAGGTTATAAGCTTTCTCAAAAAATGAAGGAGAAAACCAATTTTCACCTAGATTATTGTTGCTCTTGAGAGTCACATCACTTGTCAAAATTTGTTTTGGCTCCTCCAAGTTTTATGGATAAAATGTCATATTGATGTGATGAGTAGCTTGGTCTCTCTTATTTCAGTCGTCAGAAGACAGGCCAAAATTGTATAGTAGGAGCCTTTATTAAATGGAAAATTGTACCTAATTAAAAAAGGGATGATATTGCAGTAGGAGGCTAATTGGTGATGAAGCAGTAGAGCCAGAGTACAGCAGTAAAACACTGCATCAGTCCTTGGGTATAGAAATCAGTTTAATATATAGATTCTGGGAGATGATGTTCCACTGGGCTACTGTCCTGGAGAGATACTGTTGGAAAACTGCTCACATAAGATTTAAAGAACTCAGTTATTTTTAAGGTACCTCTGTACTGGTGCACAGAGCAGTGCCATAGCTTTTTCTCTGTTCCTAAGTCCAATTCACAGTTTTCTAATATGATGGTAGAATTAGGTAGTAATCCAAACTAAGTTTAAAATTATCTCAGCTTTTTCTCCTCATAAATGAGTCTGTGCATTTGGAAGGGAAATCAAATTATTCAGCAAGAACACACCAGTCTATCACAGAATCAAACAAGTGGTAAAGCTGAAATAAGAACATACGTGTTTTTTTTCTTTGTAGAGACTGTATTTCATTCAAACAGCTCAAAGAGAGGAAACAGGGCTTTGTTAAAATACTGTTGCTCATCCTTGCTGTGCCACAGGATGAGACAGACAGCGAGGTTTGACTGTGAGGACCTGTGAGCTCCTACATTAGCACAGGAAGTGATTTAAAAAGAACAAACTCATGAGTAAAGTTCATTGTTTTTTACCCATAGTTCGGCCATAAATATCTTGTGTTTTTCAATTACATAATGCTTTCCCTGGTGAAGATCTCACATGACATATGTGCAATCCTTATTTGAAGTCCTCTCAGGGGTATGGAAAAGTTTCCTTGTTGAAATCTTACTGGGGAAAGTGCCTTTTAATAGTGTTTAAAATTTAAAATGAGTCAGCTCCATTCAATCAGGACTTTCTCTGTGGTTATTTATATCTTAAATCACATTCAGATACATAAACACACAGAGACACCACTTATATCAAAAGAGTATTCATGCCTGTCTTTTTTTTTTTTTTTTTTTTTTTTTTTTTGGGCCAGAAATAGTAACTAAGCTGTTTTCCTGCTGAGGTGAACCAATGTCCAGCAACCACAGATCATTGGGTCATAGATATGTACAGATGATTTGCATGCAAATAAGCACTCTGAAGAAATTATATTTCAATACTTTTATACTCCAGTATTTTTTCTTCTAATTAAATGAAACATTTCTCTCTCACCATGAACAAGGTTGAATCTGTCACCAATTAACTTCAAATATTGCCAACATTAAGCAAAAAAGGGCTGGTACCATCAGATGCCAGGGAGAAAGAAGTTATTTTATCCAGAGGGTGGAGCTGAGCTACTTTGTTTACTGGATTTTTTGGGAAAACCCAGTTTGGCCTGACTCATTGCCTCTCTTTTTACCTGTTACAATGGGCTTTGACTTGTATCAAATTTGGGTCTGGGCACTGCTTAAGGAAATGGCAGGTCTTTTGAATATTTTCTTCAACCCTCTCCAAGGGAAGAAGGATGAATATCTATACCCTGAGTCACTAGTGGTGGTAAGGAAAACAGTCTTGGCTTTCCTCAGCTAAACCTTGGACTGTTGTTCTCTGTGACTGTGACAAGATGCTGCTCTAACCAGAGCACTGAAAATGACAGTTTTAGGCTCCTTGTAGCTCATCCCAACCTGATAAGAATTCCACAGGACAGCAAAAAGGCATGTTCACAGCATGTAGACTCCCCTCTCTGCCAAATCTGATGAACACTGGGAGTTATTTCTCCAAGAAAAAAGGGAAAATCAAATCACGAGAAGCATTTGGCACTGACAAGGATCTGTAACCACTGTCCCCTGTATACACAGCTCTAAACAAAAATAGCTTCATTTCTCTAGTGGAAATTCTCTGGGGTAAATTATCTAAAGGAAAGGAGATTATTCCCAATTTTTTTTAGGTGTTTTGTGTATGAATGAAGTTCCCTACTAAATTACTAAACTTCTACAGATGGTTATGGGCCCTAGATCATGCCATCTGTGGAGAATATGGCATGTTTATCCTGTTAAATCATGAAAACAAGGGCTGGATCCTGCAGCCCTAGAGCACAGTTGAAACCTTTGTTCACAGAAGAAAATTAGTAGGTCCTGCATTTTGGTCTGATATATTTCCCAGCTGAAGCAACTTCCATGTCAATGGCTGTTGGTCATTCCCATTTTTTTTTCCTGACTGTCTTGTTTCTGACACAGGTTTTTCAGGTGATGGGCAACAGCCACCTGCAACATCTCATTTCAAAGTCTTTCTGTGTCCATCCACAGATGCTGCATAGGGCAATCAAAATGTACACAACTGGACCTGCTGGTCTTCACGAAATTCCCTTGTGTCTGCTGATTATCTTCATCCCAATCTTGATGGCTATAAATGCAATGGAAGAAGTGAGGCTGTTCTTTTATAAATATTGTTGCACACCTGGATCTACTAAGCAACTTTAGGTATTTGTCTTTTAAATGGCTGTTGGGGCTTTTATCCTATTTTTCCAAATGATGAAAAAAGAGGGTCTTGGTGGCATAGCACAACCTCTGTGTAAATAAATGAGAACAGTTATGGCAGAGTTTCAAGCTTCCAGGACGATAAAATCCCTTTTGGTCATGTTTGTTGGCTGAAAAATGCTCAAATCAAGTTCAGGATGTCTCCTAGAAGAGGCTGATGTTGTTTAAGACTCTGAACTCAGTTCATTGAAGTTTGAGATATGAATATCCCCCAGTCAATGATGTGGATTTACAGAGCATGACCTGGGTGTACACCAATCTTCAAGCTACTTCTTGGTGTGTGCTCTTACTGTGAACACAGCTACAGAGAGCAGGGAGATAGGATAAGGTGCAGCCCACCCTCACACTGTAGCAAAAATATTTCTTAGATCTCCTGGCCTTTGAGCTAAGTTTTTTTGAGAACATTGACATTTATCCCATTTCTGTGGTGTCACGGTAGAACTGTTTTTTCATTAAACACTAACTGTAATTCTATGAGTCAGCAGACCCCCTACCTCTCCTCAAGTTGAAAGCTCAGCCAAGTAAATGCAGTTTGTCCATGCAGACCTTAAATAGCCTTCACCTTAAAGAGGGAACTAACAACAAGTGGGTTTTGCAACTCCTTGGACAGCAACAATGAGATTGTCCTCGGTGGATCCATATCACCCCCACCAGCCTCTTACCTGATTTCTTACAAATGTGGGGAAAATAAAGTCATTAATGCACCACTTAAAATCTATTACAGGAAACACTAAGATGTCCACCAGAAGAGCAAATGGTAATGGACAAAAACCAGTCACATAGGTAGATGATGGTTTAGTTTAGGTCGATATTACAGTGCCTCTTGCTGAAGTAATTGTATTTTGTTTTTCTGTTTGAAGGCTCACAGACTTTGTTCTCTGTGACTTTACTTGATTACTATACAATACTTTTAATCTTTCCAGGGCACAAAGCACTCATAGGAGTAAACACCAGAAGGAATTCCAGAGAATTACATACAGTTAAACTGTTTGGCTAAAGTGGGACTTGAAGAGGAGCATGGTTGGCTTAAAAACTTGACTCTTTCATACTTGGCTTTTATTGCATGAGCATTGCAAAGCAGGAATAAAATGCAGAAGCAGAAGCTTTTGGTTGAGGTGTATCCCAAAGTTGCAGAAAAGCTGTTTACAAGAGATAACAGGGCTCTTCTCCCTTCCACAAGGGCCAGTGAGCTTGTTTGTACTGCTCTAGTGATAAAAAGGGTCTACTTCTGCTAAGATGGATGATTTGCATACAACTAAAAGCTCTACCTATTATCCCGTGAGAGCAATAAGAAATAGTAAAATAGCAACAATTAGATGTCTATTTTTAAGTCTCAGATGGCACTTACAAAAGTTGTTAGTGATAAGTCATGTATGTTTATTGACTTTTCTTACGTTACTGTGTTTTTCTTGCTCCTCACCAGTTCTCTGTTCTTACTCACAACTGGGCACTTGAGGTGGCTGTTCCTGCCAGCATAAAGTCCTTTACCAAATCTTACTCTGAGGGTTAGTAGGTGTTAAGCTTCTGAAAAAGCCCAAGGAGGTGACTGCAAACATGGCAGTGTGTCATCTCAGTTGTCTTTCCTTGTAG